ATTTGTGGATAAATATAACATAATAAATAGAAATAATGGTAGACTTGGGTTGGGGATGAGTAGGATACTTTGGCAATTGGAGGTCCGTAAGCGATGGGCGCTGCGATCTTGGCGACTGGTGCGGCTGCGTAAGCTACCGGGGCGGAGTAAGCTACCTTAGCTACTGGGGCGGCGTAAGCAATCGGGGCAGCTACTTTGGCGACTACCGGGGCAGCTCCCAAAGGCTCACGGTGAACGACAGCGTTGAATCCGTGGATTGGATCGGCGGTGTATTCAACGGTCCTTCTGAAGCCGTCAGCATCAACGAGAGAGTAGCTACCTTGGACGGCATCTCCGTTGCGGCTTTCTTGCTGTTGCTTGTTGTCTCCGGTCAAAGAATCTTGGACATCGTAACCGTAAGAGTATTGAGGGTTTGGGTCGTATTCCTCAGCTACCTTAGCTACCAATGGGGCGGAGTAAGCCAATGGAGTAGCTACTTTAGCTACCACTGGGGCGGCGGAGTAGGACAACGGGGCGTTGATGAGACCAGCGTTGGCAGCGGCCAAAAGGGCGGCGAAAGCTACGAACTAAAATAACAAGAATTAGTAACGAAAAAAAAAACTAACCTCTTGTAATTTACTTTGTAAGCCATTGTTGTTGAACTGAGTGTGGATCGGTTTCTGGCTTAATCGAGTGCGGATCGGCCCTATATATACCGAAAATACAGGTTTTCATTATTTATCGATTTCACGTGAAAATCAAGTGAAACAAGGTCAATGTTTCGGTGATGCGAACACATGTGCAAGAAGAAACTGTTGCGTAACGCGTAAAAGTTCATTCATTCATGAAAGCGGCGATTGAACATATAAAGATTCACGTACTTGTAACTAAATTACCGTTTGTAGCAGATGTTCAATGCGTGTAATTTAAGACTTTATAAGAGAATTCAATTGAAATAATGTCGGAAAATTTATCAGACTCAGTAATTAGAACATGCAATAATTAACTTAATGGTACAGCTTTTACATATTGAGTTATGTGATTTATTATAGTAAAATGTAAATTCCAATTCATATTTATTAACATTGGAGTGATTTAAGTTATACATTTAAATACTTTACTTATTGAATTATTATAATTTAGTTTTTAGTGATTTATGACTAAATTAGTAATAAAATTTTAAAGTTTAAATATACTCAGTTATTTATTTATTTATTTAAGAACTAATTATAACTAAACGTTTTATTAATCAACATTTTATTGAAATATTACATTTGTTGTCATAGAGAATTTTAAAAATATGATTTAAAGCTATTTTTGTAAACTTTTAACGTTTTTCAAGAATAATAAAATATTTAGTAAATTTACAGTTTTATATAGTGATGTAATACTATATAAATTGTTTTATATAATTCAATAATTTTGTTTTTTTAGTAACTTACTTATATTTAAATAAACTAATTTTAACATTTTAAGTTTTATTCCTGAATTAAAATTTTATATGTTAAATTAGTTCATTACTATTTTCTGTAAAAATCATAAAATATTTAAAAGTTCAACATACTAAAGTAGTCTTAGTCATTTATTTAAGTTTGTAGATGAGATTCTTTTTCCTATAATTTCTTTAAATATCTTAAAGTTAATTTGTTTTTTTGTTGTTTAAAATTAATTATAAATAAACTTGTTTATTAATCAACATATTATTGGAATATGTAAAAAATAATTATTATCTATGGAGTATTATCATTTTTCAGGAATAAGAAATATTTCAGTAAATTAACTGAAAAGGTTTTATGTAAATTGATACAAAGAGAATTTGTTTTCTTTTAAATTTATTGAATCTTAAATAACAAAATAATTATTATCTATGGACTATTATCATTTTTCAGGAATAAGAAATATTTCAGTAAATTGACTGAAATGGTTTTATGTAAATTGATACAAAGAGAATTTGTTTTCTTTTAAATTTATTAATCTTAAATAACAAAATAATTATTATCTATGGACTATTATCATTTTTCAGGAATAAGAAATATTTCAGTAAATTGACTGAAA